GGATTACAATGCTGATGTATGCTAGAAGTTCCCCAAATGTAAGGAGAGTAAAGTGGGGCCAGAAAAACTTCCAGAAAGATAAGGAATTTTTACAGGAAATAATCAAGATACACAAACTTCCACAATATTTGTTCTGACCGAGTAAAGGGTTTGTTTGTACAAAAACTGCAGGAAACAGACTATCAACAGTCTCATTATCTGGACAGCCCAAGGTATCATAATTATAAGATAATGACTAACATTCTCTCCCAGTTGAAATAAGTAGCAAAACTACCATGGATTTCAAAGTGGTTGGGACCTACACTCATATTCTGCCATTGATTTTAGCATTATAACTTCAACTTGGGAGTCCATTGTTCCATAAGTGCACATCTCTATGAAGGCAACCCAATATATTGAGATTTATATGGTTTAATGTAAGCAACCATACTTTCAATAAGAAAGTAAATACCCCCCAAACCTACTTTGTTACCCTCTCGATGGTCTGCATGTGAACATTAGAATGAGTCTGTGCAAGAACTGCCTCATGTTGTGCACATTTCAGACACAGACCACCAATTCGGCTAGAATTTGTGGCTGAAACAAGTGACTTCTGGTGTTTTAGTCTTCCCTCCAAATCTTTGCATGTCTCCTGAGATTCTGAAAGGTCTTTTCTGGAAAGAAAAAATAAAAAACATTATTTGTGTAATCAAACATTTCTACAAGTTACACTTATATACAATATATAGTTACAGATGTAACCTAAAAAGAACTGTCAGAATCCCTGTGACAAACATTATTTTACAGATTTCAGTAGGCTAAGGAAGACTTTAATGAAGAAATAATAGTTGAACTGCCCAATCAAAATTATTAATAGGCAAAACTGTATCAATTTGTTCCTTGCCTCTGTAGTATCAGAAAATAGTGAAGTTGCACAGAAAATTATTCTATAAAAAATTTGTAGGCTTACATATTGACTGAAGAGAGTAAAAGACTCATTAGCAAGAAACATTATCAGCTGTAAAAATCTAACATTTTTTCTGCTGTTCTTACTAATAAGATCACTACCTTCACATTTCTTCTCTACTCTCAAATTAGCTGTAAAGTTACAACATAAAGTCCCTAGACAGAATCCAGATGTATTCAGCACATTCGCTCTGATCCAGTGATACACACACACACACACACTTGAGGTCAACCACATCTCCAGATAAACAGGGTAAGTTTTTTACTTGTCTCTGAAGTTTTTACCAGGTGCTCTGAAGAATTTTCTCCAGAATTTCCAAGCATCTGTCAGGCTGGGGAGAGCGCAAGCGGTGGGAATGCTGACATCAGGAAGTTCCAGACAAATGCACACTGTGCACATATAGATCAATTTGACAAACTGTGCAATGAATCCAAAGCTTTTGGTTTGTTATGCAGGCCATCTGGGCAGCATACACATAGTAAGTCTGACACATTCTGGTTGCATTGGATTTACTGTGCACATGATATACACACTGCATGCATGCTTATTTCCATCTGGGCAATCTTCTGTGCAGTTTTTCCAATTTTAGTAGTTGGTCTACTAAATGTAATCCACTATAACCTGAACAGAATTTGCTCTGTGTATGTCCTTAGACAGTCATGGTACAACAGGCCTATTGCTGGGAAATCTTGGACAGAAATCAGCGAATCCTACGTAAATTCATGCTTAAAGTTAAAAACAAGGATAGTCCCACTGAAAGCAATACAATTTCTCACTTTAATTAAAATTTAGCAAACACTCAAGTGCTTCTCAGAACTTACAATTTGAAAGACCACGCCACTTAGGAGAAATCAAGAGGCTGAATAACGTACTTGTGGAAATTTTCAGACTATTTTAGCCTCCAATATTTATTTCTGAGTACATACAACACTTCAAACCAAGGAGGGGGGGGAAGGAATATAATTAGATTACATAGCTGAAATTTAAGATTCTCCTCTACTTTCACTCGCACAACTGGCTTTGCACATTGAAGGTTTCACCTCTGCAGAGGGCGTATTTAAACTTGTCTCCCTAGGCAACTCTTTTTGCACACACACAAAAGTCTAGAATTTTCAGATATATGAAACCACAATTTGTTTAGGGAAAATCATCATTAAACAGATTCAGCAGCAGTATCATGAAAGCAGGTGTACAGGGGGAAGTTTACTCCTGAAAACCAAATCCTAAAGTGGTTGCCTCTGCCACTGTTTTTCCATAGTTTGCTACCTATTTAAATCTTTAATATTTTGAGGAGTACATGAGGACTTATTTCCAAATATTTTTGTGTTTAAAGATATGCAGGTTACATGACTGCAAACACTGCCTGCATGCTTCAAAACTATGTCTTCTGGCTCCAAAATAATTATGTCGCCTAAACTAGTTCAATGCTTAAGACTTCTAAAACTTGCGATATAAAATATTACTAGAAGAAAGCTAATTATGGAAGAGCTCACAGAAGTTAAAATTTTAACTTCTTTATTTCTTTGATTGGTCTACCTTAACAAACATGGATGTTTCTATAAAAAAAAGGGTAAAAAGGATAAAGATGTTTTATATCAAGTTCTAATTTCTATAAACACAATAATTCAATTGATTTTATAAAATTTATATATTGCTAATGTTGCTTTATAGTAGCAGTACATTCAATTTCGCTACATTTACATTTGAGAAAACTTCGTGTAAAACCAGCTTTCAGGGACACTATCAGAAAACACAATATTCAGACGTTCAGTCATTCTCTTACCTGAATTCAAATTAAAAGTGGTTCATGTTGTTATGAAGTGATAATTTATTAATAATAATTTTAAGAAAAAACACAAACATTTCACTTTACCTTAGAGACTGTATTTGAGCACCAAGGATATTGACTTTTTCTTGATAAAGAAGTTTTAGTTTCTCCTTTAAGAAAAGATGGGAGAAAAGAAGTGTCTTTTGCTTTCTTCATAACATTGTCTTTACAAATAAACCTAGACATCAGCCACACTCATTCTTTTCCCCTGAAGACATAAACTTGTTGAGACACTAGTATCAGAAAAATTTAAATAGTTCACATTCGTGAAAGTCTACAAAATTTTCTTATTTCTATACATCTTGCCAGATCCTCAAATGGTAAATTGCTTCAGCTCCAACTGCAGCCCTCTAGAATGATTTACACTAATTGATGATTTTGTCTCAAGTTTGCTCTTACTCTCCCACAAGTCAGCAGAAATAAAAGAGGAATCCTGAAGAACTTCAAGTACGTAGGCTATTTATTTATAATACAGTGAGTTACTCTACCTGGCAAAGAGCTAGGTATATAAATCAACCACACCAATGTTAAATACAGTGGTGATAATGAACTAGATAAAGCATCGGAAATTTTGCTCACTATGATGCTTAGAAAGAGGTCACATTCAATTATTTTCTTGCTTTAAATATGGCAGATGAAGTAAAAGTGCAATTGCTGTGAAAACTAGCTTTTCAAACAACTGCAGGCCTTAGGTATCAGTGAAGGGGTTTTCAGCTCTAGATGATGCACAAAAACCACAAAAATATATTTTACTGGGAAAAAATTTAATAAATACATATAATTCTCTTGAAGAATTCAAGTACCCTTTAAATTCCACAGTGCTCATATGCACATTCATTGCAAAAAAAAAAATAAAATAAAATAAAAACTTTCAGTTGACCACAATCTTCCCAAAAGATAACAATGCTACTCCATTAATTTAGAACAAAAAAATTAAGAGTATCTTCCCAAACTAAAAATACAGTCTAGAGACAACATCATCTCTAAAAGCACAAAATGTGTACTTCAGCTTAGGGAAAACTGCACAAAGCTACTTTTGTATCTTACTGAGCCTGCGCTGTTCCAGGACCAGAGACTCATTGCAAAAGAACTTGCCTGGAGGGCTACCTAAATTACACCAGCTAGTTCCCACCTGCTTATGCGTTCTGTTATGGCTAAGAACCTCCAAAGAACAGGGGAGGGAGGCACCACTGACAGGACATTCTTAAAACGTTTTAAGACTTAGCTCTGGGAAGTCAACATCTGCAGATACAACCTGCCATCTCTAACTGGATAACAATATTAGAGTATAATGAGAAGATGAGGTTTAAATGAATAAAATTTCACCTCAGATTAAGGTTCAGTCAACCAAAACTCCTCCTGTGTGTCTGTTACAAAATTATTCAGAACTGCAGCAACAACAAAGCACCAAAAGGTTTTGCAAACGTGTGACTCTGCAAAGAAAGTTAATACCAACCAGTTCTACATGCCATTTTTCTATTTCTCCAACAGCTGCTGTAACAAAAGCCTGATTTTTGTTACATGCTGGTGATGAGGTGACAGGCTGACGCACGCTACAGCCATTACCACTTACAGGCCAGGAGTTCTGAGTATTTGCCTAAAATAAAAATATTAATGCTTCAGTTATAATTATGTAGGCTGTTTTTTTAAACAAATGTTAATTATATAAGTATTGAATCTTACAATTTTCATTATAGTAGACTATAAGAATCAATAAACAAGTTAATTAGGTTGGCAACCTACAATAATGATGTTATCAACAGAAATCCATGTTTACAAACTCTCATCAAATTTTGACTAACATTCAGTTTGCAGATAACCATTTATATAGCCTTCCTTAAAAAGAATCAGGTCCCTGAACACTGATTAAAACAACAGAAAAATAAAAACTTACTGAGGCATCTAGAAGAGTTTGTTCTCTCAACATATGTTCCGCAGCTAAGAATTTCAGTTTCTGATGGAGTTCCTCATTTTCAAGTACAACTACTTGTACTCGATCTCTCATTCCAGACAATTCCTCCTATAGGATAGAGGAACTGCATGTAAAAGGCTCCTTGAGACTGCTATCAACATTTAAATACATCTTGAGACCAAAAGTCTAGATTAACACTCTTAACTATTTTAATCCTTTTAGAGAGGATAAGAATACTCGAGAGATTTCGTATTTTTGTAGCTTGAATTTCCAGATAACTTCAAAAAAAATTGCTTATTCGTATTTGTGATAGGATGTAAAAATGTCTTTGAAGACCCTTAAACATTACACAGGCACCAAGACACACAGTAAGTCTCAGTGTCTACTGAAGAGCATTTGGCTCAGTTTTGGTCATTACAACAGTGAACCTCAAGAGCAAGTGTAAGCTGTTTTTAAAGCAGTTTTTCATATTTAGGGGACCAGAGTTTTAGTAGCTGAAATATGTTGTCTAATACCTTGCAAAACTTCACTTCTGCTTCTAAATGGTTAATGTACTGTGACTGATCATTGATTATAGGAATGAGATCAGAAAGGGCTGGGAAGTCTCCAGTTGCAGCTTCTGGGGGTTTCTGAAGGAAGTAAAGAATAGCAGGTGTTATTTTCCAGTTTTCCATTTATTGCAATAAGATGTTACTTCCACACAGAATATTATGTACACTTAATAAAAAGTCAGCAAGTACTAGATCATGAGGAAGGAAGAAACAGCAAGAACTTAAATTCTTCAATACAAAAAGTAAATATGTCACTTCTGTCAAAGCTTACAGCTGCTTGATTAAGCACATCTATAAAGTAGGATTAAATCATATCCACAAACTGATTTGTAAATGAAATTCATACTGCTATTTAAGTGTATCATCCATTTTAGACAAGCATAAGGGAAGGGGGTATTTTCTCTTCTATGAAATGAATACAAAAATCCCTTGAATTTCAATGAGTTGTGGATGTGCAAAGGCAACTCCTGTAAATGTTCATTAGCAATTGCTACAGAAACACAACTATGTCTGCAATTTTAATACCTCCATAGAAACACAGGAAAATATGAAAAAAAATTATTTGTGTTTTAAAAAACAATTCTAAAACAAACACACACACTTTCTGAAGACCCTATAAATAGGTAACATTTCCGATAACCTCACAAATAACTAGTTAAAGAAGGTAACAAAGGGAATCCTTGCCCATTCAAGATAGACATCTCTGCTTTGTTCAGCAAGATTTAAACAGGGATTAAGTTTTTTTACAAAATGTGAAAAATACAATTGCTATAACTTCACAGCATTTCCTCCTAAGAATACAGTAGAGATAAAGAATGTAAGTAAATATTACTAGAACATCCTTAAAAATCATAGTTTCCTGAAAACTACAGCCTCTCTTTGATCCTACTAGCAACGAACAGTTCTTGTCAGTCTAATAAAAAGGACTTAGAGTGGATATAACAATTTTTTTTTTTATAGTATAATACTTCAATAGAACTAGATAACTTACAACGAACTTCAAAATAATTTTAATGGATTAACATCAATACGTTAGTCTACAATGAAACTGCCTTTGAATAGTCACAAAAATCTTTGAGTCTCTACTTTCAAACTTAAAAAAAATCACCTACTATCAGATCTCACTCATCCTCTCTACGTATTTGAATATTGGTTTACTCCCTTAGTTTGATATTCCACCATTGCAAATTTCATCCACTGAAAGAACTAAGTACAGTCTAATACTAGTTGACATATATGAATTATTTTAATTACTGAACCTAAAAGAAAGTATATCAACGCAAGCCACAATGTTTTGGTTTGGTTTTCTTCTGTTTTTAAATAATTAAGACAGTCAAACTGTGACATGTCTCTAAGTAGACCATACATCCTCTTATATAAGAGAGGACTGCATTTTTCACCAATTTACTGAACAGTTTCATTCACATTTGTAAGACAGTAAATCTCTCTTCTTTCTATTCTTTTCTGGTAAGGATACAAAATTCACACAGAGTTGTTAATAGGGTCCTCTCAGAGGAACAACAGGTACGTTTCTAGCATTAGTTCACTACTCTGGATGAAAACAAGCACCTTTATGCTGATCCCTAGCTAGTTTTGAAACTGATACAATTCTAACATCTGTGATCTCGGGTCTGAAACACATCTTTCTGTGCAAAAATATTTCATGATATGCTTCTTAAATACACTTAAGTCTTAAAGATCATAGAAGTCATTTTCAGGAACTAACTGAACAACTGGACTCCTAAACCTCCTGAATCTCCTAAAAGATTCAGATACCTACATCTTTGTTTTTAAATATAATTTTTGAAACATTCACCAGTAGAAAAAACAAAAAAAACCAAAAAAACCCACAAAACCATCACATACACACCAAAAACCCAAACCAAGCTACCAATGGCTAGCTATTACATCTACTAGCTATCTTATCTACAGGTTCTGCCAGCAAGGTATTATCTTTAAAGGCTGGACAGGGAAAGATAAAATCCACTAACCAGGGTGAGGGGAACGTTTCTAGCAACAAAAGCCCTCCTGTCAAATTATACCCAATATAAGTATTGGCTGTATTAAAGGAGGGACTCTTGCAAAATCTGGAAGTACAATTGTGGAGACAAATGGAGGGTTTTCCAGAACTATCTAGACCAGCGTTTAAAGAAGGGACTCTGAATTTTCAATGTCTTCCACCTGGCTCACTGCATTTAAGTTCCACATTCTACTGACTCAGAATTCACCTTGCTTTAAAGTCTGTTAATCTCATCTACTTTATAAAGTTTTAAAAAAATGAACCACACTTGAGTGCTAAAGAATGGTTTCACCAATAGAAAAATAACAAGAGAACTTCTTAACACAACTTATTAACTCACAGCACTGTCACTGGGATATTTAGAAGCCTCTACGTTCCCTTTCATGGGGTGAATGTCTAGTAGATCATTTATCATTTATTTCTTTTTACACTTTTTACTACACAATTATTATCAATTAATTATAAGTTGATTCAGGAATTTTTTATTACTACTGATAATATTACATGTGTTATAGGGTGAAAGAACAGAAGTCAGGTGAGGCATATATTTCAAGTAAGCCAAATATTAAAATCAGAACTGAAAGACACACCTGGTCAGTATGAATTACCAAACGTTTATGCCTGAGTCTCAGAAATTATGTCTACATTTTCATTCTTAATATTGAAAAGTTTACCATATAAACACAAGTGTTTATGAAATATAAATGCTTGGCAGCTTTACAGGCCAGCATTCTACATGGTGACAAATAGTTTTGCCAACATCCCAAGTAATTTGGGCCATCTTGTACTTTTCCAGAATGCCCCAAATTTCCAACCTTTAAACCCCAGAATGAGAGACACTCCTGCTGGAAGTCTTAAATCTGCTGCCCTGTAAACTGACAAGAAATACCAGGAATCAGCCACAGGAACTCCAGGTATAACACCACTGTCAGGAACCCAGGCTGGGTGCAGTCAGGTTAGCCAAGACCCAGCTTGCAGAACTGCAGTTGTCGTATGAAGCCATCTTGCTGGCCTTAACCTCAGGTGATGAGGTAGACAGCAAAAGGAAAATCTCTGCCCAACTGTCTGGGTATAACCAAAGATCTATTCATATGATGTCTATTGCAACTCTTATCAAAGGGCAAGAGAAGGGAATTTTGTTAAGACAATGTTACTTATACTTATGAAGTGCTGTAAAGTTTACTAAACAGTATACTTTCTGTGAAAAATTATATTTAGCTATAGACACACGCAATCATCTACGGTTCAGTAGTCATCAGGTATTTCGGCGTAATTCAAAGCAAAAGGTTAAGGTTACTCATAATCTAAGTTTGCTTTCCTTGACCTTTGGGGAATCCGATTCTTCTTATATAAGAAGCATTTCTGCAGCATCCAGCGAACGACCAGACAAGCTCGTATTTTACAAGGGTTTGGGTTTTTTTGGTGTGCGTGCACTTTTGTACTTCCACATTTTTTGAGCTTTACAGTTAGTTTGTCTTCAGAACACTTTCACATCCTGGTTAGCAAGCAGATGGAGGACAGCAGAAAATGAGAATAAGGCCACCATTTCACAGAATCCCTCTCATTGGAAACTTCAAGAGGAAGAAATGGGACAATGCTCTATCAATACAGTAAATTCCCATTTTTTCCTCTGTTTATTCCTCCATGCTTTAATCCTTTGATGCATTATTCCTTTGAGCTACAAAACACTAGTTCTATCTTGCACCATTATGAGGCAAAAGTACCTGGCAGGACAATCAGACTAAACTTGTGGACGGCAGAACACTCAGAAAAGTTGAACTTTAAATAAAATTTCTGAATGTCAGAACAGTAGAGCTAGGCTTGTTACACAGGCTCAAAGCAACATAGGAATATAGGCTTTAGATTGTTCTGCTGCTACCCTAACATTGACAGCAAAGGGCTGCTTGTCTTGCTTAGGATAAACCAAAAGTAGTCAGTGGAGGCCATCACGGGATAAAACCGGAACAATGCCTTTGGACCATTTTCCTAGAGATACCAGTGTTTAGCAGTTGCTCTGTAACTGAACTGTCCATTGCACATACTTTGGTGCAGTTCTGCTGCAAGAAAGCTAAATCCAAGAAGCTGGTGTAAGGGTGTAAACTAACTTTGACAGAGACCACTGCATTTTGGCAGAGTGCTACAAAACCTGTTGTTACAGGAACATCTCTTATCCTCTAAAGAAAAAGCATAATTACAGCATAAGAAGGCCTTTGAGAATCCTTAAAGTACACTGAAAGGAAAACAGAGGCTGCTTTTACAGGTTTTCCCACATAGTCAATCCCAATTGTTTCCAAAACAAAAAGGATGAACTTCCAGTGGAAAGAAAAAGATGAGAAACCTGAAAGCAATGTGGACTGTGACCCACAGTGCATGATCAACAAAAGAGGAGAAAAGTCTAAATCCTGTATTACAGATTTATTTTTCTTCTGCTATGGTCATAGGCATACCAAGTTCTGGCCATAGCCTCAGGTATCTCCTATATTTCAGAATATAAAAATGATTCAGTGCTTCTTTTTCTTCCTGGATACTAGAAAATTGATCTCATCATGCATACCATTCAAACGAAACAAAGAAACAAGAAGAAACATACACAGAACGACACCTTCGTCCTCGATGGAGAAGCTTCACTTTCCATTCTTTCTCGATGTTGCAACAAAATTTTAAGTTGATTAACTAGGAAGAGATAAAAAAAAATTATAACCAAAAAATATTTAATTTTTCATTTAAATTAGTATAATTTCTAACAATTTTTAAACCACTTGCTTTTAGAGTAATCCTACCTGCGTGACTGTGCTGCAGTTCCTGCCAGGCTGCATTCGCACTGTCGTCGTTGCCTCTGTCCACATCGTCACTGCCCTTGTCCACAGAGGGCTGGTCAATTCCAACTTCACCCTCATCCTTTGCAAACTGCCTTTCCTCCAAGGCATATTTCAGTTGATGGATGCTTTCACTAGCACGCTCTGGAGGGGAAAACAAACAACAACAAAAAAAAAACCACAAAAAACAACACAAACACACAAAGAAAAAAACACAAACACCACATCATTAGCCACAATAAACAACATAAACAACATAAAAGAAAGTATTGACCAAATGATATTTTACATTTGAAAAAAAAAAAAGAGGGAGAACTAAAAGCATTTAGCATCTGTCTAAACTCTGCCACTGGAAGCAATTACCTAACACAAACAGCCAAACCAACTACTGTATGTCACAATTCGCAGAAGAAATATTTACTACATTTTCAAAGAAACAGCTATAAGTAGCATCTCAGCCTGTTAATACACTAGGACTCTGCAGCACAAGTTATAGAGTACCTGACCCTAAAATATTTCCTAGCATACGCAGCTTCAATATTTTTCAGTGAACCTAAGGCTCATGCTCTCTTTCACACAAAGTGCAGCATTGGGCACCAAGAACAATACTTTGAATTCTAATGATGCCACCACACATGACAAAGCAATGTATAGCACAATGAAAAAAAAATCTGAGTAAATGAAGTAAAAACTCAGCAAACCAAGCCAACATAAAACAGTGATTAAATAAAGACTGACGACTTCTGAACAAGTGTGAAAAATAAATAACACCACTCATCACTCCGGGGAAAAAAGTAACAAAACCCATCTTTCCAGATAAATACAAATATTTTTATGAACCCTTTCAAGAACTAATTGACTTACTGGAGCGTGATACAGCAATGGTCTTTTCTCATTTTCAACATTTTTTTCTTATATTCTTTTTTTTTAAATTTTTATTTGATTCTGCTGACTTCACAAAAATCAAAAACTTTCCCATCACAAATGCTATGTCACTCTGACGCAGTTGAACATTTCCAATATGCCAGAAAAGAAACGCGACAGACTTGCAGCTAAGAGATGACAACTGGATTGAGAATCAGAAAATATGAGCTTGGTTTTAGATAATGACACTTCTAGTTCACACCGTAGGACCTCAGGCAACTCACTCACTACTTCTTTCTTTCAACTGCCTATGTACACAGGGAGATGAGCATTTAATTTCTCTTCCCTTTAAGCACTGTATATACTAACTAGAAAAGACAGAGTAGTAACCTAAGTAGTATGGCTTTATGCAATGTTCAACAAAGCAGGATCTCTAGGTTCTAGTGTAACACCAAGTGAACCAAGAAAATGACCCGTACATCAGTGATGGAGCATACATACTTGGTGAGAGAGTCCTCCATCACAATTCACAGCCACTTTATCAGGAATATAAGATGACATGTTTTTTACACTTCTCCAAAGTAATGTCACAGTCATTTGTGACCACCTGTCAAAACTACCCCGAATCAGAAATGTTTCATTAATAGTTAACAGTTACTCATAATTTAAAACAAAACAAAAGCACAGATTTGACTTTCAGAAACATAAAGTCATAGCTGTCTTCCTCATTTAGCCCTGAATTCTTTAGAGTGTTTTTCTCCCCTAGGACAGCTGTATATGAAACATTCAGGTATAAATGCCCATAGAACAGGAATTTCACTCTTGTGAGACAAAGCTTATAAGGTTTACAAACGTTGCAATCAGCAGCATATATTATACTCTGAGGCATGTCTTCTGAATTCTACCTAGCAAATGCTTAACTGTGATTCTTTAAGCTATTTTTTGCCTATAAGAAAAAAATATTTTTAGTTAGCATCAGATCAATTTACGAATTACAAACATGTAAAAATAAGTGAAGGGCATGTGTTATTACCAGCCAAACCAGGACAGCATTAATAACTCCTTTCTTCCAAATGGAAAGGTGAATAGCAGTTCAAGTCAGAGAATAAAAGCTAGATATGTATTTCTGTCTTCACTTTATCTATTGTTTCCAAGTCCAAGTCCAC